GCAGAAGGAGTTAGAAGAATTCGACGAAGATGATGATTTTGTGTTCTCCACCGAGCATAAAGAAGCCATGGCGGCCGCGGCAGCGGCGGCGGCGGGCGCGGGGAGAGAAGGGGGAGGCGGAGGGGGGAAGCGCGGGGGTCTGCCGCCGTTAGCAGGAAAGGGAAGGAAAGGTGGGGGAGCGGGAGCGGGAGGGGCAGGGGGAGGGAAAGCAGCGCCGCCAGTTTCAGTGTCGCAACGGTTTTCGAGAGAGCTATGGCGGTTAAAGAACCCTACAGACGCCTGGCATGGCGCGTACCCGTACCTTAGCGAAGCCCTCACCCCGGCCGTGCCTGACCCGAAGTCGTCGAAGCAGCAAAAGACGAAACGCGGGGCGTCCGCGTTAGCAGTAGCCGCAGCGTCAGCAAAAGCAGCCAAGGGACGGCGGCTCTCGTCGTCATCCGACCCAGGCCTGAACGACCCGCCAAGCCCGAGGTTCGGGTGGGGCGGCGGGGGTATTTCCGACGGTTCCCTATGGCTTTCGGGTCTACAAGGCCGAATGAGCCCATCCCTATCCATGGACTTTTCCCAAATGGGGGCACCGGAGGGGCCAGGGAGCGTGCTACAAGCGGGGCTAAACCTCATGTTCGATGCGTCTATAGGGATAACGTCAGAGTATGCGGCTATGAGGAGCCGTAGCACGTGGTCCGTGCAGCTAACGAGGGTTTCTGCTGAGAGTAGTAACAACTGGGAGATGGGGTTTGGGGAGCTGAGACGATGCGCGGCGGCGGGCGGGGTTGTGGGGATCGCGGTTGTGGGGAGTAAAGGGGAGGGGAGCAAGGGGGAGGGGGGAAAGGGGGAGCGGGAGCGGCCGAGTTCTCGCGGGGGGAAGGGGGAGGGGCGGAGTAGCAAGAGCAGCAGCAGCGCGAAGGAGGGTGGGGGGAGTGCAAGAGAGAGTAGCACCACCAGCAGCAGCAGCAGCACGAGAAAATCCGGAGCAATGACTGGGATAGTGACTAGGAAGAAGGACGGTACGCATAGCGTGATGATTTCTCGGGGCGGCAGCGGATCAGCAGTGGACCTTAAGAGCAGAAAGCACGAAATAGGAGGTGCAAAAGCGGGAGGAGGAGGAGGAGGGGGGGAAGGGACGGACGGAGGGGCAAAAGAGGGCGCGGAGCCTCAAAAAGAGGGCGAAGCTCCGAAAGAAGGGGGCGAGAGGAAAGGCAGGGAGAAAATCAAAGGGCATATACAGGCCCGAGCGCCCTCAGGGTTATCCTGGGAGGATGAAATTGCATCCCAGCTAGCGGCAGTGGGCGTTAGAGTAGCTCCTAGCAGGACTGGCGACGACAGTAGTAGCACCGACGACGACGACGACAAGAAGAGCAAGGACGGGCGGAAATCCGGGATCGACCAATCGCCGCGCGCCGCGTCAGCGGTGTACGGGTCGCAGGCGAGCAGCATGGGGGCGAGGAAACCCAAGGGCCCGACGACGTCTGTGTTTGAGAGGAAACGGCCGGAGTATACGCGATCGCCGTCTGACCTGCACAGTGACCATGGCAGGGCGAGCAGCGGAGGCAGTGTGGGTCGGGCGTCTGGATTGGCTGGGCTGGGGCGGCTTGCGAGGGGGTTAAAGAAGACGTTCAACATTCAGGGCGATCAGCACGCCAGCTGAAAGGGAGTGTTTCGCGTGTAGCATGATTGCCCTCAGGCAGTTGGGGATGGGTTGTTGGGAGGGGTGGGCAGGACAAAAGCCCGGGGTTGGCCAGGTCAGGGACAGACGACGTCAGTGTTTGAGAGGAAACGGCCGGAGTGTACCCGTTCACCGTCTGACCTGCACAGTGATCATGGGAGGGCGAGCAGCGGAGGGAGTGTAGGTCGGGCGTCGGGATTGGCCGGGCTGGGGCGGCTTGCGAGGGGGCTAAAGAAAACGTTCAACATTCAAAGCGACCAGCATGCCAGCTGAGTGGGGACATTCGCTTTTAGGAAAGTTGCCCATGGACGCATGCATACAGGCCAGCTTGGAGTCCAGAGAGGGTGGGAAGCACTGTGCAAGCTGCTCATTGGAGGGTGCATGGAATGGTGAACGGAAGGGTGCATGGAGGCAGATTGGGAGGGTGGATGGGAGGGTGAAAGGGAGGTGTATTGAAGGGTGAGAGGAAGGATGAGAGGCAGGTTCGAGAGGGCGTTGGACTGGGTGGGGAAGGCACAGTTTCATCATGGCTGGCTGGTAATAGGGACAGACCGACCATATAGGTATAGTTTGGCCGGTGGTGGGCCGATGCACAAGTCAGCTCGGGGCCTGCTTGTGAGGCGTGTGATGAACAGTTAGGGCCCAGGGCTTGTCATTGGCACAGGAATGCCATTATGCCACCTTTGAGTCGACTCAAAAGCAGGCCTGCTTCTGAGGAGCGTGAAATACAGTCGGGGTTTGTCCGTGGCCCCGGAACGCGGCTGTGTCTGTGCGAGTGTGGGCATGTTTCTGATTAACCTGAATAATCACAGTAGGTTGGGATCTCTGATTAACAGCTGTGGTTATTAGGGTTATGCATAGAGGGGGTGGGAGGGAGAGTGGGGGGGGGAGAGGGCTGGGGAGGGGAGGGGGAAGGGGAGTGGGGGGGAAGAAAGGGGTGATGGGAAGAGGGTGGGTGGGTAGGGTGGAGGGAGGGTGCGGGTGAGGGGGGGGGATAGTGGAAGTAGGCTAGTGATGTCTAATATAGTGTCTCCTGGTCAGAAGGAGGCAAGGCTGAAAATGACAGGTGCAGGTGTGCAGAGAGTCAGCAGTACTGCACGTGGACGTGGACCGAGGGACTGATGATTATGAGGTTTTAGCAGCTTACTAATTATTCGCGGTGCGCTCATCGTGTCTGCCTCATTGTAGGCCTAGGGGATCCGTTGGCTGGAAAACTCAGCTAATCATTGTCTGTTTCTACTTCTCTCTCATTAGGGCCGTACTTGTGTATGCAATTTCCTCATGTAGGTGCCATGGCCTACCTAGTACCAGCTTGTGCTCTCGGTTGAAAGGGCACCCTGCAGAATCCGAGTTGTGACTCGCCTACTCTGAAGTCCCTCTGAATTTGTACACCCTATTCGCGATAATTTCACACCCCTTAAACGTACACCCTGGGGGTACATACCCCGGATACAAACTTTCTTTCAGGGTAGTTCGCTGCGATTATTGAACAGCTGGTGGGCGTTCCGAAACCCAGTCGCGAATAGACGTAGCATTAAAAGCTTCAGTCGCGCCACCCAGCCCCGTCCTCACTCGGAACACATGGTGTAATTTCAAGGGAAACTGCATCTCGCTGTCGACTGATAGTCACTGAGTCTCAGGGTGTCCGTCGTATCGAGCCTGAATCGGTATAGGGCACCTTCAAAAAAGAGGGTAGGGGGTGTGCAATTATCGCGAAAAGGGGTGTAGCAAGCAATACTGGCTGGTATACATAATATATACAAATGCTTGTTTCATTCAATGCTTTATCGCCATCATCATAAATGTTGAAGCGAGGTGAAACAAGTGAACCCTGTGACCTGCCACTTGGTGCCTCCGCTGGCTGCTTGTGTCTGCAGCGGTCACAAGCAAGCCTCCGTTCTCTGCCGTTCCGTGGTTGACAACGACACCCTGTGGTTTACAGTACAGTACAAAATCTCTTGCTTGTTGTACGCAACCGAAGAATGAGGTATACCAGGTGCTCGTTTCAGTCAGACTAGCTCTCATGGCATACGAATCGTTTGACAGCACCACCACAGACAAAATGAACGTTACAGCATGTTTAAATCTCATGTCGTAAGCACATTTTTCTTACGCTTCATCCTTGACCGACTTTGCCGTACACTTGTATTTGCAAAATGTGACATCATCCCTTGTCAGCTCGCGCATTAGGAAACGTTGACGAAACGGTCACTATGCAAAGTTGACAAACCTATCAGCCAAAATCAGGTTCAAATATAATAAAAATCGGTGTAAACCAATGCAGAATCACGACGATCTGACCATTTTTCTCAATTCTAGCACGACGTGTCATTTGTGAATCATGGCAGGCATCATAGACCCATGTCATACTGTACACGCAACGCAACGCAACCATCACACACGCACCCCCTCTCCCCACCTCCCCCGTCTTGTACTGTACACGTATGACAATCGCTTGGTTTTTCGAGTTCTGTTCGGGTCCATGCCACCTCAGGATTGGTTGTCGCGAGAAATGAGGGAACACGGCAAACATGGCAATGAGAAATGTCTTCATTTCTCATGCTCACCCTCCTATTGTCACCGTTAGGAATGAGGGAAAACCCGAAGCATTTATATTCAATGTGAGCGGGATACAGGGGAATGCCTTTACTTAGTAGCATCTGACAGCACTTTTTCACGTAGACTTCTAAGTCTTGCGGGTTGTGTCAGGGTGATGGTGCATACTCCCTGTTTCGAAAGCAGGGCCTAGAGGTAACCTCTAAAATTCTGGTTTTTTTTTTCCTGATCCAAGGCTCTTGCTTTCTATCTTCGTCCTTTTTGGGAAATTGGAGAAAATCATGGGAGGTATTTTCGACGAATCAGAGAAACTCTGAATGGGATCCTACGAGTGCTGTAGGAAAACCAAGTTTCATAGATGCCTAACTCCAGCTCAGGCCCTGAGTCCCCACCCAGTTGCCTTCTCTGCCTCTTTCTTGCTGCAGCAGCAACTCCCCTTTCCAGTGTACTTGACGTCCACATCAGCCTTCCACAGGTAACACAGTACTTGACGTCAATATCCTCCTATTGATACTTCATTCAGCCGAACCACGACACCGCTTAGCAGGCGACTAGAAAAGACAATGGGTTTTCAAGCATTTCCTATTGGCAGGATCGCCGCCTGTCATCATAACGTGTGGTATCTTAATCCAAGCCACTCCGCCTGCTTACGCAAACATTCGTTTGCTATCGGACGGTTATTTCCACTCACAGCCAGCTCCACGTTTGCTTCGACGGGATTCTATATTTATCGTCGGTTTTACTCATTAGCACCAGACACGCAGACTATCAAACGAAAATGCTTTCAGCTGTTCCCGTCACGATCATGGCGGACGATCACAAGCTCAGAGCCCCTCCACCCGTCAGAGCCGCCTTTTATCCTGGAAGTTTTTCCGTCAACTCCGCCGCCTCTAGTAGTAGTACTATCGCCGCGGCGTACCCCGAAGCAATGCCTCAGGCGGCGGAACCGAGCGTACTGACGCCGTCAACGGCGCTCAATCCGCGCCACCACCCGCAGCTGCTTCTCCAGCTCGATCGCCTTCAGCAAGAGATCGAGGCGCGCGGCGGCCATGCCGTTCTTGAGCTCACCGCCGCTACGAGGAATCAGATGCTGTCCAGCGGTAGAGATCAGGCGACTCAGCATGATCGGATGCTCTCATCGGCGCCAGATAGTCCACCTGCTGCTCTTGATACTTCTCCCGGCGCTACTGCCGCGGCAGCAGCAGCTCCTGCTGCGGCTTGGACTCTCCCTCCCGGTAGTAGTCCGAGCACCAGTCTACTACCGCCGAAGTCGCCGGCGGGGCTTTGGAAAGGCCAATGGCAGTCGCAACGGCCGCGTCAGCTCGTCAGACCGCCGTCCGTTCCGGCGCGGCTTGACAGCATGATGACGGCTCGTTACACTGTGGGCCGCGGCGACGGTTGCCGTCAGTTTCGTAGCAGTATTTATCCTGCTTCTCAAAGTACCTCCGCGGCGCCGCGGATGCGCATCGAGTCGCCCCGAAGCGGCCCGCAAGTCACGACGATCGTTCGCAGCGAATCTGTGCCTGACATGGATGATAGCGCCCTAAACGCCGAGAAAACCGGCACCTCACGCGGCGCCGTCAGTCCTCCGAGACGGCCGTCGCGCAGCGTTGCGAATCACTCCCACGCCGCCATTTCGGCGCGAAGGCGTCTGAATGCACGACCTTTCCGCTCGTCGTCGAACCTCGATTTGCCCGAGATTGATTTCGCCAGCACTGATGATACTGCTACTGCTAGAAGTACTACGAGTCGGAGCACCAATACCGTATCCGGGGCAACGGCTACTGCTAGCGGCGCTAGCGGCGCTGCTGCTTCCAGTCCTCCTGCTCCGCTGCCCGCGGCGTCGCCAGCGGCGCCTCGGAGATTTGCGCAACGCGTGCTCGTCCAGACTCGAGATTTTGAATGTGTGCGAGGTCCGCGAACTTCGCAGACGCCGCCAGGTGGCGTCGTTTCGCCTCGCGGAGAGCATCGCCTTAATGATAAATCGAGTCCCAGCAGCAGCAACACCTCTCATCATAGCAGGAACCAATCAGAACAGGGTTACCCATCTCCTTCCGTGATGCACGGTGAAGCAGCGAGAGCAACGATGCGTGTCTCTCACAGGAGCGCTAAGTCCCATGGTGGGGACTACGGTGTGTGTGGTCTAACCTCGACTACTAACGGTTGCCTGGGAACCCCTGGAAATAAGAAACTTGCGTGCGCTGTGCATTGGCGAAGCGCGTCAGTTGCTGGCGACGCAAGCTCAACGGACTTTCGCGAAGGATTTCGCAACAAAGCAGCTCCCTCTCCCTCTTCCATGCAAAACATGAAGCTCCTCGTGCATGCGAACTCCAGCGGCGAAACCTGGGGAGAAGGGACCATTACGCCAGCCATCGATGAGGGGCCGACAGTTCCAGCTCCTTCCCCACGTCAGCCGATCAACCAGAGCACATCTGGAAGCAGCTTCGGCCACAAAGTGGACCCTGTGGCTTGCTCGCCACGTCAGCTACAGCTACGAGAGCGAATTTTGGGCATCCGATACAGTTGCATCAGGGATAAGTTCCACATCAGCAAGGAGAAGATCGGCGAGGGGGGTAGCGGCGAAATCAGGAAATGCCTGGAATGGAGCACTGGAACAGTGTTTGCTTGCAAGACAATTCACAAATCAAATATCAAGGTAAGCAGTTTATCATTAATTGCAACACAAGAGGGGAGTGGTGCTTTGTATATCTATTTTGTTGTGGGTCTTTTTTTCATAATTTATCCTATCTGTCTGTGTCATTGTTCATGCAGACAAGAAGTGAGGTATCTGATTTGCGCACAGAGGTACTCCTCATGGACCTTCTAAAATCGCATCGCGGAGTTGTGCAAGTCCACGAAGTATTCGAGGACCAGAAGGTACGTGTAGTTGCTTCCCCCTTCATGTTTATTTTGTCGTAATAAATTGCCAGCACTTTCACATCTTATGTACAAGCACCATGTGTCTCAAATGCCCTCATTATCACCAAAACTGTTTTTTACATCCCCCTTCTTCCCTCATCCTTCTTCTCTACTCTTCTACTCCCTCCCATCCAGGCCGTCCATCTCGTCATGGAGCTATGCAACGGCGGAGATCTTTTCGACTTCATTCAGGGCTCCCCCAAGGGTCGTCTCACTGAGCAACAGGCAGCATCCGTGATGAGACAGCTGCTGGGAGCGCTCCACCACTGCCACTCCCTCGGTGTGCTTCACCGCGATGTGAAGCCTGAAAACATCCTCCTGTGCGACCGGATTTCTCGACAGGCAGGCAACGGGGAGGTGGAGATCAAGCTCAGTGACTTTGGAGTGGCTGGTTTTCTAGATGACGGTAAGGACAAAAACGGTCATATGTTTACTACTTTTTTTTTTTTTTGTTCTCTACCTCGTTCCTATTCTGCTTGGATCCAGCACTTGAATTTTACCCGTTCTGATTTTTTTTCCCCCGAATTCTTGGTTTCAGATGGTGTATGCACGGACACCACAGGCACATCAGAGTACATGGCACCAGAAGTGGCCATGAAAGCACCCTACAACGCCAAGGCTGACGTCTGGAGCGCCGGTGTCGTGCTGCATGCAATGCTGGCTGGCGCTCTCCCCTCCTGGGCGCGGCTACCAGACGAGTTCAGCAAGCCAGCTGGAAGCACGGGTGGCTGTAGCAGGAAGGGGAAGGGGAGGCAGCAGGAGGGGAAGACGATGCAGGAGGGTATTGCAAGGGATGAGCTTACTCTGAAGAGCCGGGTGTGGAGGGGTGTGTCGGAGGAGGCTAAGGAGCTGCTGAGAGCCCTGCTGAGGAAGGACCCGGAGGAGAGAACCTCGGCTCTAGAGGCATTGGGTGAGTGCTGGGCTAAAAAAGGTGTTACCTGGGTGCGGTGCTAAAGTGGGTGGGGGTGCTTTTGGAATGCTAGGTGTAGATTTTAGTGTTTGGTTGCTTGATGACGCTGTCATGTTTTTTTTTTTTTTTTTTTTTTTTTTTTTTGCTTTGTTTCCCGTGGAATTGCTGGGGTGGAATAGTTACCGGTTCTATGATGGTTATGCTCCTACGTAAATGACAACTCAGAGAATCTCCCATTGTTTTTGCTTCAACGCAGGTCACCCGTGGTTAAACAGCGCAACACTGTGTCAAAAGCTGGAGAGTAAAGAAGAAGTGAAGTGAAGACCATGACAAAACAACCATGCAGCATGCACTAATATATGAATGATTTTGTACTCACATCTACTGCCATTTCAAGGCATTTTACGTAACTCAAATTCGCCAAGGCTTCTCAAGGAAAGAGAGATGGGAGCAGGAGAGAGAGTAGTAGCAGCAGCAGCAGCAGCAGCAGCAGCAGCAGCAACAACAAGAGAAAAGCGGAGGGAGTGTGGGTCGGGCATCTGGACTTGCCTGGCTGGGGCGGCTTGAGAAGGGTTTAAAGCAGATGTTCAATGTTCAAAGCGATCAACATGCGGGCTGGAGGGGGAACATTTCGAGTTTACACATAGCTGCCGCCAGTCAGTGGAAGGCAGAAGGCTGGGAGAAGGGGAGGGGGGTTGCAAGCTCGTAACCGGCCAGGGCAGGGGGGGGGGGGGGGGGGGGGGGGGGGGGGGGGGGGGGTGAAATCTGCGTTTAATAAAGCCGGCCAGGCCAAGGGCCAAGGGCTGTCCAGGCGCAAGGTTGGGTAGCCGACGCTGTCGAGCATTCTGTGCGGCCTGCCTGCAAGCTGTGCGGGAAAGTTCCAAGCCAGCGCATGTGGGGCTTGCCCTGAGGCAGGTTGAAATGGGATGTTCCGCCATGTATGCATGGGGACTAATTGGCGCCCTTAGGGCCCGGCTTGGGAGCCGGGAGGTGTCAATAGGGCATGCTCTCTCCTTTAGTGATGGGCTATATATTTTTGAGGCTGGAAGGGGGGGGTGGGGTTGGAAGGGAGGGGGGGTGAGGAGGAAGGGGAAGGAGAAGAGGGTGGGGAGGGTGGAGGGTGAAAGGGTGGGAGGGTGGAGGTAGAAGGCTAGTGATGTCAAGTATGATGTCTAATTTAGTGATGTATAATATAGTGCACAGTTACCGTACTATTACTGTACGTGGCCATCGACGGACTGGTGCTGATTTTAGTAGCTGACTCATTATTTGTGGTGCGCCCATCGTGTCTGCTGTTGGGCTGAGATAAGCCCTTAGGATCTTTTCAGGGATGAACTCCAGGTAAGAAACCTCGTTATAGGGGACTATGAATGACATCAAATGGAGATTTCAATCGGGCGAGTGTAAGACAATTTCGGCTCGTGTGGAGTCTGCTTGTTGTTGCGCATCCCATTGCGTAGCTTTCAGGAGTCAGGAACTAACTCTGCGTAGAGCGTATGACGTCCGACACAACCCTCGGTCAAAAACGTTTTGAAGGGTGCCTACCCCTTTGCAGACGTGGGGGTTGAAGATAGACCGAAAGAAAATAGCGGTGGTTAGGTGTAGGTTTTAGCCGTTCCACATCACAGAATCTTCTGTATTTTGGGGGCTAGAATACCAGACCCGGCAACGAGAAATGCCCGCTCAAGGGAGTTGTTTTCCCAAGGTGAATCTATCCTGTTATTTCGCGTTTAAACCTTTGACGTGTTTTAGGGGAACAAATTTGCTTTCACACAGCCGTCAGATCATGTGTCCTCATCTTTGCTGGATCGTACGGGCCATGAAGCAGCCTTTTTGTTTGATACAATCCACCCTGAAGCCCGGAATATACACTGTGAACTGGTGATGGCACTGTGAAAGGAATCTTTCGGACTCGTTGTCCTCAATGCACCTCACATCAGTTGTTGTCCTCAATGCACCTCACATCAAAACGTTTCATGCAGCTTGTTAACGATAATTTCAGAGGTACCCTGTCTCGTCTTTTTTTATATCAGACACCCATAGGCTATGGGATATCGATCTGAGATAATACTCGGTGTCACAAAAATACAGTAATATCCACACGCTTATCAGACACATTGTTCGCTCGCGCTGGCCAGTTTTGAGACCCGATTTTAATGGTACATTCCGGCACATGTTCCATTCCCAAATGAACAGTGAGTTTGCCCGGGTGCGAGCATCTGGCACTCGTTCTTTCCTCCCTCACCCCACCCAAACCCCCCTTCCCCCCCGCCTCCGCCCAGGCCAATTGGGTATGTACAGTGCACACCCCCACCTCCATCGTACAGTACGTGTAGTAGGGGGATAGTTTTTAAAATATTCACAGCAGAGGCGGGCGGACGGAGGTTTTGGTTCTCACAGCCCCGTCGTATCTCTGTTTCAGTTTCCTTTTCCCCTTGCTTCTGCCTTTCCCTCGTGCTTCAGCAAACTCTTCTTGCGGCCTTCCCCATGCACAACTAGAGATATATTTCATTGATTGTACAATCGAAGCGCGTTACAGTCACACCTGGTAGCCGGGCGGGATGTTTTTGAAACGAGCAGACTATTTCGCTAGGTGTTCACGCACGTCGCCACTGGCACAAGGTGATTGTAGGCTTGCAAGGTAACATGTTTAACTTTTCCCAGTTACTGTGGACCAGCGTCCGTTGTTGTTTGTGCATGTTCTTAGTTACCATGCAAGCCATCAGTGGCTTCGCGCTGCATTTCGGGTCCCTGTGTGGGGTGACAACCACCACACTAGCGAAGCCAGCGAAGGCTTCGCTCCAAATCGGTAAGATTTCGCAGCTTTTTCTGTAGTGCTTGTCTTGTGTGCCAAGGTAGAAGCGCCCTGTAAATCTGCCCGACAAAAACCACATGCCACCAAAAAATTGAGTGACTGTACCCCTTGTGACATCACCCGGTAAAACATGCAATTGTGAGTAAATTTCTAATTGTGCTTACCAAATTTTTTGTGATAAGGTGAGCATCGACTGTACTACTGCATCTGAGTGAACAGCAACACACGACTAAAATCGACACAGGGCATTCATGGGCTTGATTGGTCGGTTCGTCGCCTCATGAATAATGCTCCAAGTCAGCAATTGTTACGAAAGCACTCTTGTTCCTTGCCCCACTTTTCCTCTCGCAGCCATTTCCGAGTAGTAGCTCCCACACGATTATTTATTCTATCATCGGTTCTACGAATTATCCATTACATGACAACGCCAGACGCAGATTCTCAGACGAAATGCTTTCAGTCGCACGGATCATGGCGGACGATTACAAGCTCAAAGCCTCTCCACCCGTTAGAGATGCGTTCTGCTTTCATCCTGGCAGTACCGCCGTCAACTCCGCTGCCTCTAGTATTTCCGCGGCGCACCCCGAAGCAATGCCTGCTGCAGAGGCCGGCGCAGCGCTCGGCGGCCCGCCTGACAGCACGCATGCTGAGCCGAGCAGGCTGGCGCTCATCTCGCGGCGGCAGCACCCGCAGCTGCTTCTCCAGCTCGATCACCTCCAGCAAGAGATCGAGGCGCGCGGCGGCCATGCCGTTCTTGAGTTCATCCCCGCGACGAATGGTCACTATAACGCTCGTGGTAGAAGTGACTCAATCATGTCGAACATGCTGTCCAGCGGCGGCGGAAGAGAGCATCCGAGCCTGAAGCTCTCATCGTCGTATGATTCACATTGCAATGCTGCTCTTGCTACTTCTCCCGGCACTACTGGAACCACTGCCGCGGCAGCAGCAGCAGCAGCTCCTGCTGCCACGTGTACTACCCCGACTGGAGGTAGCCCAAGCACTCTACTACCGCCGAAGTCTCCGGCGGGGGTTTGGAAAGGCCAAGGTTTCAGGTCGCAGCGACCGCGTCAGCTCGTCAGACCGCCCTCCGTTCCGGCGCGGCTTGACAGCATGATCATGATGACTCCGACGGCTCGTTACGCCGCGGCTCGCGGCGACGCCAACGGTTGCCGTCAGTTCGGTACTAGAATTCCTGCTTCTCGAAGCGCCTGCGGCGCTGCGCCGCCGCCGATTATGCGGCTCGAGTCGCCCCCAAGCAGCCAGGAGTTCCTGCCCATCTGCGACGACTCGTCGGAATCTGAGCCTGAAAGCGCTGGCGCCGCGAACGCCGAAGATGCCGGCGCCTCACGCGGCGGCGAGGCAGTCAGCCCCCCAAGTCCACTGTCAAGAGCCGTTGCGAATCACCCTCACGCCGCCATTTCGGTGCGGCGCCATCTCAATGGACGGGTATCCGCGCAACCTTTCCGCTCGTCGTCAAACAACGATTTGGCCGGGATGGATCGCGCCAGTCTTTATGATGACGCTACTACTACTGCTACTAGCAGTGGTATTTGTAGTAGCAGGGCGGATCGGACCCCCAATACCATTTCGACGTCTAGTTCTCCTGCTCTGCTGCCGGCGTCGCCAGTGCCTCGGAGATATGCGCGCCGCATGCTCGTCCAGAGCCAGGAATTCGAATATGTTCGAGGTCCGCGGACTTCGCAGCCGCCTCCGTCGCCAGGTCACGGTGGTATCGTTTCGCCTCGCGGAGAGCACCCTCGTCACGACAAACCAAGTCCCAGAAGCAGCAGCAGCACCTCGCATAGCCCCAAGGGTAGCAGGAACCAATATACGCAGGGCTACCAATATCCTACAGTGACGCACGGTGAAGCAGCGAGCGGAGCGGTGCGTGTCGCTCACAGAAGCGCTAAGTCAATCAGCGGGGACTATAGGGTGTGTGACCTAACCTCGACCGCTAACGGTTTCACAGAAAGCACAGAAAATAAGAAACTCATTGGTGCTGCGGAATGGCGAAGCGGGATCTCATCAGTTGCTGACGAAAGATACTCAGCGAACTTCCGCGAAGGATTTGTCAGCAGCGGAGCTCCCTCTCCCTCCTCCATGCGAAACTTGAGGCTCCTTGTCCATGCGAACTCCAACAGGGAAACCGGAGTGGGTGGGGCCACCACTCCAGCCACCAATGATGTCCCCTCAGTTCCAGCTCCTTCCCCACGTCAGCCGATCAACTACAGCACACCTGGACGCAGCTTCGGCCAAAAAGTTGATTCTGTGCCGTGCTCGCCACGTCAGCTACAGCTGCGAGAGCGCATTCTGGGCATCCGATACAGTTTCGTGAGGGATAAGTTCCACATCAGCAAGGAGAAGATAGGCGAAGGAGGCAGTGGCGAAATCAGGAAATGCCTGGAATGGAGCACTGGAACAGTCTTCGCTTGCAAGACCATTCACAAATCAAATATCACGGTAAGGAATATCCCGTTACTTGCAATACAAGCGGAAACTGGTGCTTGTAATAGTAATAATCATGTACTTCCTGTTGGGTCCATTTTGACTGATTATGATCCACCTCGCCATATATTCTCTGTCATTGTTCTTGCAGAATCAAAGTGAGGTATCGGATTTGCGCACAGAGGTTCTCCTCATGGACCTTCTGAAATCACACTACGGAGTTGTGCAAGTCCACGAAGTGTTTGAGGACCACAAGGTATGCAAAACGTCTCCCCCTACTACGTTTCTTTTGTATTACACTTCCAGCACTCACACATTTGATATACAAGCACCGTCTTTCACTTCACAGAAGCCCTCATTAGCACCAAAACAATCATGCCGTTCCCTTCTTCCCTGGCCCATCCTCTCTACTCTTCTACTCCGTCTCATCCAGGCCGTTCATCTCGTCATGGAACTATGCAACGGCGGCGATCTCTTCGACTTCATACAGAGCGCCCCCAAGGGTCGTCTCACTGAGCAACAAGCCGCATCCGTGATGAGACAGCTGCTAGGAGCTCTCCACCACTGCCACTCCCTCGGTGTGCTTCACCGCGATGTGAAGCCTGAAAACATCCTCCTGTGCGACAGGGTGCCTCAACAGTCAGGCAACGGGGACGTGAGGATAAAGCTCAGTGACTTTGGAGTGGCTGGATTTCTCAATGAGGGTAAGGAGGACCGAGATGGTCAGCTTTGAAAATTTGTTTGTTCCTTTCTCGCTGTTGTCCCTACTTCACTCAGATCCAGCACTTGTGTGTACTCATTCTGACCCCTCTCTCCCTACCGAACCTTTCCACCCATTTCTCTGGCTTCAGATGGTGTGTGCACGGACAGCGCAGGCACATCAGAGTACATGGCACCAGAGGTGGCCATGAAAGCATCCTACAACGCCAAGGCGGACGTCTGGAGTGCTGGAGTTGTGCTGCATGCTATGCTGGCCGGCGCGCTTCCGTCCTGGGCGGCACTACCAGACGAATTCCAAGAGCCAGCTGGAAGTGCTGTCAGTGGTAGCAGCAAGGGGAAGGGGAAGACGATGCAGGAGGGTATTGCACAGAACGAGCTTAAACTGAAGAGCCGGGTGTGGAGGGGTGTGTCGGAGGAGGCCAAGCATCTGCTGAGAGCCTTGCTGAGGAAGGACCCGGAGGAGAGACCCTCGGCTTTGGAGGCATTGGGTGAGTGCGGTGCTGCTATGCGTTGGGTGCAGTGTGGTGCTGTGGTATTGGGCGCTTGGTGAGTGCGGTGCGGTTAGGTGAGCCATTGGGTAAGTTTGGTGCTACAAGAACTGGTCTGGTTGGGTGCTTCCAGAGTAGGTGTGCATGGTCTGGTGCTGTCGTTGCACTTACTATGCAATTATGATGAGAGCATGCATGGTTGGCAGTCATTGTCACGTGATGCTGCTCACTTGATCAGCTTTGTGTTGTTGTTTGCACTGCCATGCTGTGCCGAAGCTTGCACGGGCCTCTGCATTCATGGTTTGACATTTCATCCATGATTATGTTCATGCATGTAAGCAGTATGATGCAGCACCTAGCAGCTGCATGGTGATGCTCTACTGCTTACATGCAGATGTTAGGTTGACAAGCGTTTTGGGTGGAATGCTCACTGCTGTATGGCAGTTACGTTTCTCTGTGATAAAATAGCTACCGGTAAGAGAACCCTCCTTTCGTTCATGTTTGCTCCACTGCAGGTCATCCGTGGTTGAAGAATGCCACACTGGAGTGCCAACAGCTGGAGAAAGGGCTCAACACTGAATACAGCAGCAGACAACTTTTAACTTGACTCATCATAAGTCAACATTTTTGCTCAGCTCCAGATCATCCATGGTTGAAGAAAGCCACACTGGACTGGGGTGCCAACAGCTGGAGAGAGCTTTTCAGCACTGCATCAATGCAGTATGCACTAATACGGGAGCAGCAGTACAGTCACATTAGCTACTATTGTACTAGCAAAATCAAATTCCCTATGTAACACTGATGTCAATTTAATATTGTATACCCGCCCTGTACTGCAACTTCCACAAGCGCAGCCCACTACTCTTTGCCCCATCCACCTCTCTGGCAGACAGTGCATGATACCCTGACTGGTTCCATAATCAGCAGCATTACACTAGAGATCAACGCGTAGGCAAGGCACTCAACCACCCGACGACACATAAACTCACACCACGTCCCTTCTGGGCCTGCCAACATCGTTTGAGGCACCTTAGAAGCTCACTGTTCAGGCACGAGCCTCTGGATAATATTGTACAGGAACTCAGACCACCTCGCATCCAGCAGTCAGTCACTAGACCTACTCAGGAACCTTATAACTGAGTCGCCTCAGGAGCTCACTGCTCAGGCACGAGCCTCTGGATAATGTTGTACAGGAACTCAGACCAGGTGTCTTGGGGGCCTGGCTGGCAGTAGTGCAAGCAGTCTGTTTTTTTGACATCCCCTCTATGCCCATCCGGTCTTAAAGCCATCATCGGTTCCACATCCATGAACACTCCTCCTGCATCCTCCACTATACTCCTCACCATCTCATTTTGCTCCGTAAATTCTACCCATTGGAGTGGCAATGTCGCTCCATCCTGCCGCTCTGTGATTGGCTGGGTGTGGTTCAGGCAGTTGAGGTGGTGTGGAGATGTGGTGCGGTAAATTAGGAGTTTGTCGGGGTGATTATGACGAAGAAAACGGAAGCATCGTCTGACTGCCTTCACCATCTTCACTGCCGGCTTGTAGTGCGCACCCCGATTCATTATAAGCACGTGAGATTCTCGTATTCCCTGGACTTGGTGCCATGGCACGTGGAGCCATGCCGCCCGCTCTTTCTTTTCTTCCCCCACACGCATCAGCCGAGTTGTCGCCACATAATGTATCTCCAATTTCGGACATCCCTGAATGCGGTAACCAGCACATGTAAGCGTCCTCGAGTCGTCAATCCACTTGAGAAATTTCTGCTTCACTATCGTCCCCACCGCCGGCTTAGGTATATGCTTAATTATGCTATTCATAAAAGAATAGTGATGCTCCCGCGTCAGCGAATCCCCGATAAAGGCAATCCGCAGCCCATCCTTCCGCCGCGCGGCCAGCTCGCAAAGCGCACGCCCGTCGAACCTCGAAAACAGCTCCCCCTGCACGCCCTCCCTCCCCACCACCGCCTGCCTTCCCCCGATAACTCCTGGACACTTTTCCCGCGGCACCACCCACTCGTACTTCAGAGTTTCTCGAACCTTCCATGCCGCAGCAGTAGCAGCGGGATCCAAATTCGAGTTGGCGATTTTGTCCGCGTGAACTCCCGCAACTCCGCCGTGCTTCACGTGGCGGGAGTCGCAGCTCTGCAGCTCCTTTTCCTCCCACGGTAGAACCCTAGGCGTCGCGTTGTACCGCCACTCGCCGCGCTCCGCGACGCAGCTCATCCACCGCTTGAAAGCTGCCGCTTCTCCTGTTCCGGGCCTGAGTCTTGAGCCTGGTATCCTGCTTCGGAAATCGCCGAGGCTGGCCAGCTCGTCCGGTGGAAAGGAGACGTGTGGTAACTTGGTGAACGCGTGGAGAGTAGGGTTGTTACGGATCATTGCGGTGACTGTACCGTACACCTCGTCCACGTGGCAGTGCTCCCGCGCGAGCCAGATTAGCTTACTCGGATCGCATGCTGAGAGGAAATGATGGATGCCGAGGCGGAAAGCGAGGTGGAAATGCCACGTGGCAGCCCGCTGTTGGCCGGCGACAGGGATGGAAGCGGCCATGGTTACGGGGCGAGGGAGGATCTCGATGACCGTGGAGTTAAACGGCATGAAAATCAGATTCGAAAGCGCGGGCGACGTTGGGCCGACGAACAGAATCGCGCGGGAAAAGAGCTCCTTGGCTTGAAGTAGCGGCACGTGCTCGTCGTATACCACCACGCGCGACTCGCCGAAGAGCTCCCGCATCATTACAATCACACGGTTCATCGCGTCAGCCGCCTCTTTATTATCGCCCTCAGCGCCCTCCCCTGCGCCTGCTCCCCCTTCCGCGCCCTCCTCTCCGCCTGTTCCTCCTTGCACAAGCCCCCCCTCCCCAAATCCGATATCTTCCCCGCCAGCCACCCCCTGCCCCTCCCTTCCCCCATGCGCGCTCCAAACCAGCGACACTACCACCGACGGTTCTTTATAATCGACGGTTCTTTATAATCACCTTCCGCGCCCTCCTCTCCGCCTGTTCCTCCTTGCACAAGCCCCCCCTCCCCAAATCCGATATCTTCCCCGCCAGCCACCCCCTGCCCCTCCCTTCCCCCATGCGCGCTCCAAACCAGCGACACTACCACCACCCAATCCTCATGCAAGTCCTCCCCAACCACCATGTGCGCCCGATCCTGCTGGTTCGGAGGCTGGCTCGGCAGCCGAAGCACCCAGTTCGGATGGAGGATCGGCAGGCCTTTGGGCGGGAGGAGGTGGTGCGCGCGGAGGGTGCGCCACAGGGGGTCGGGAGAGCGGGGTAGGGGGGAAGCGGCGAATCCGCAAAGGGAGTCCGGATGTAGCGGGAGGTAGAGGTTCTTTGCAAAGAACAGGTGCGGACGCGCTGGTTCCGCGCCTCGTGCTGACGTGGAATATGCTGACGTGGCGTCCAGGGGGATGGAGAGCGCGGCGAGATCCACTCCGAACAGCTCAGTGCGCACGTGGTGCAGCAACTGGGGGAAAAGAGCGGGCATTCCAGGGCAAAAACATGTTGGAGGGAAAAAACAGGGAGGAGAGAGGAATTAGAGGAGAGACAACAGCGCGGGGAATCACTCGTGAGCGGATTGCGATGCACTCATGCTTTCACGAGCGTGCAGCTCGTGACGATAAGGTCTGATTCCACTGGGTGCTAGTAATCCCCGTGAATTTAGCTTAGCCTCACCCGTCGATCGCGCAGCAGCAGCGGGTATCGGCGCGCAGTGGGCATGAGGGACGATGACACCAGGAACAACACCGGCAGCAGCCGCGCCAGCTGCCGCTCCTTGGCGCTTCCGCCCAGCGCGCGCGCCTTTTCCTCCCACGCGCTTGCTGCGCTGTCGCTCCTCCCTTCCGCCTGCGCGGAGCTTTCCGCCGAGTCCTCCGCTTCCGCCGCTAGCTCCTCCCACCCGTCGTCCTCCTCGTACGGAAGCAAGTTGATTAAATGCTCGTGGACGCTAGTAACGGTTCCTGCAGGGTACGACATCTCCGCTATAGACTGTTTCTCGGCCCACGCTTTCCATGCGCCGGGAGCTCCGCCGCTGCATGCGCTGAAAACGAACACGTGGCTCGCGTTGAACACGACGCCCCTCTCGTTGACGAACACGTCGCGAAATAGAAGAATTCCGCTGTTACCCGTCTCGTCGGTTACGCTTGGAGAGTATTCACCCTTTTCGCCCTCCCCTTCGCAGACGTCGCCAACGTGTAACAACGGCCACGGCCATAGCCACGGCCGCTGGCGGCACTGCGCTCGCGACTGTGTAATCTCGCCTTCGCGAAACCGCGAGGTGAATGTTGCGAGGTCTTTTGCGACGGGGAGAGACCACCTGCCCCCGAACCTGGCTGGAAGGTCGGGCAGACGGACATTGCCGAGCCTGGCGAACCCGCTCGGTCCAGAGAAAAACATGGCTCGGAATGAGGATGAACGAGCAACGTTTTGAGGGAGGCGCCTTCCAGGGGAGCTTGCAACTGCGTCACGGTCTCAGTCCCTTCCCGCCACTCACGCTGCGCATCGCCGGTTTCCCGCAAATTTCTGACTCGAAGAGGGTCTCGCCTCGGAAGAAGGGTAGGGCGAAGCGGGTCAGTAGGAACGGGATTTACTGGGTGTGGCCGACTGTCGCCGGCTGTGACGGTCCAACGGAGTTCGGACGCTGCATGCGCGCGAGGAAATGAGCGCTCGAATTGGATAATCACGAGGAGGACTGACAACAGGGTAACTGACGATACACTGAGATGAGTCCTTCGCAACTTCATGGCCGGTGACATGGTCAGTTGGTTTTCCGCACATCAAATGTCTGATGGAATCAGAGTAGGGAATGCTAGCGGCTACTATGGAATGAAGAAAGAGAAAACGACACTCCACGTTACTAGTATACTCATAAGTGGGACGGACTCGAAGGCGGGAAGTTCCAGATCTAGCCATCTCTCAAGATGGTACTCGCACTCAACCTGTGATTGTAGTTCCGTGCTAGCCTGAGTATTGTCAGGGGAACGACTCGAGGACTCAGCCGGCCGGCCCGCTGCGCAAAGACGGGGGTTCCCGCCAGTGTAATGTAGCCACTGCTGGGCAAATTACTGGTTTGGAGAAAGCAAGCTTGGATTTTGGCCAGTGATTGCCGAACTCTGCGATCATTTTTTTCGCCACCGATCGCCACAAACTATGTTCCGAGCCCAGACGGCCTTGTCATGATGCCAGGATTTCCCACACTGATTCCCCTACAAACCTTGGTTCATGTCGGAACCCACTCTAGAGAAAAGTATTGCGGTTTTGTGTATGTTTTTATTGTGCATATGTGGGCAAGCTAGATCCGCAATGGGCCAATGTAGAAATGGGGACGGGTGAGTTGGGTTCTCAGTAGAGAGCTGGAACGAGTGAAATGTTTAATGAAAACTGGCTATGCCCATGAAATCACATCACCCAGTGTCTCTGTACACACCATTTCCCGAACGTCATCCCAAATCTGATCCTGTCAGCCTGACATTCGTTCCGCACCCAACTGCGCTAGGTGGACGTGTATCTTCTCGCTTGAAAGAGCTCTAATACAAGTTGTTTGGACATGAACCTTCCAGCGATGAGAATTTATTGTGGTAAAATAATTTATAAACTAGATATCCAAATTCCATGCTCTCGCATGCTCTTTTTTTTTTTAGAAATCATTGCCTAATAAGACAGTCTTCTAGTTCAAACTATGTTGACTTTGTAGTTCGCGCATTGGATTTATCGTTCAAACAAATACCAAAATGCTAATACTGTACCTACTATGAAAGTCGACTTTAACGGGTTCACGCCGGTGGATGCCAGTTGGCTACTATGGGGAGTGTGGGAGCGGGTTCCCCCATACTCGCAACAAAGTGTTGTCCTACGCTTCATGTCAAACACTTGGAGCGCTGACCCCCTGACCACCACCACAAACCCTCAACAGACATACTCTCTCTGGCCTCCGGTCTCAAAAGCTCATTGGCTGAATGTGAGCTGGTAAGTGTTTTGAGGTGGCATTTACGCTGGTTACTCTGTTTCTTCAGGTGAAATCAGGTGTTTTTTCGATCTCACCCACACTGGAAGATCCCACCTCGCGGCGCACACGGTGCAGGAATTCCAGTTCACGCACCGCGTGGCACAAAATCCAAGCTGCACAACCTTCGATTGATTCGTAGTTCCCTCGCTCCCCCACCACACCAACCTTGCCATTCTCGTGAACCACTTCACAAGCATCTCTCCCACATTGAGCTCGACTTAGTGCAGCTGGGGGTATTACTACGGTTGACTGGTGCTAGGACGGTCGGTGTTTCTTTCCCTGCGTCAATTTGTTCGTCTAAACCTAATCCGTAAGACTCCTGCAGCAGACATACAGCCTTCGCCGCATTTCATGCACGAAAAGCCGACACCCAGCCAGCAGCCATGAACCAGCAAAGAAGAGCCCGCCTCATCTCGAGAGCCTCAATTACCTTGTCGTTTCTACTCCTCTCGATCACCCTATTCGAGCAGAACTTGCATGATCGCGCGCACGCAGCGTCCGTACTTCCCGGTCAGACCGTCATAACCGGCGGCAGTCGACTGAACCTACTACAGTCCATCCTTACCGCCCCGCTTCGCGCAACACGACGGCCGCTGCGAGACGCTCTGAGAATCGGAAACCCCGAGGTATCAGATGACGCACAGCGTGAGAGGCGGGAAGGCGCGGAGGCCGTCACGCAGTTGCAAGCTCCCCTGGAAGGCGCCTCCCTCGAATCGGTGCTTGTTCACCCGCTTTTCAAACCTGGTAACCCGCAGGGCCGAACCGAGTCGCCAGGCTCGGCGATGACCATCTGCCCGACCTTCCAGCCAGGTTCGGGGGCCTTGAGCGAAGTCTCGGCGTGCAAGTGGTCGGCACCTGCGACGGCTAGAGAGGGTTCGCTTTCCGTCGCGAATGACCTCGAAACCTTCGCCTCGCGGTTTCGCGAAGGCGAGATGTTACAGTCGCGAACGCAATGTCGCCAGCGGCGGTGGCTATGGCCCTGGCCGTTGTTACACGTGGGGGACGTCTGCGAAGGGGAGGGCGAAAACGGGGGCTCTGAGGAGACGATTGACGACGAAGTTCCCTCCGGTATAACAGGCGAGACGGGTAACAGCGCTATTCTTTTATTTCGTGACGTCTTCGTCAACGGGAGGGGCGTCGTGTTTAACGCGAGCCACGTGTTCGAGTTCAGCGCATGCGGCGGCGGCGCTGGCGGGGAGTGGAAAAGGCGGACTGAAAAACAGGCTATAGCGGAGATGTCGTACCCCGCAGGAACCGTTACTAGCGTCCACGAGCATCTAATCAACTTACTCCCATATGAGGAGGACGACGGGTGGGCGGAGATAGCGGCGGGAACGGGGGATTTGGCTCAGGCGGAAGGGGGGAGCGGAAGCGGAGCAAGCGCGTTGACGGAACAGGCGCGCGCGCTGGGCGGAAGCGCCAAGGAGCGGCAGCTGGCGCGGCTGCTGCCGGTGTTGTTCCTGGTGTCGTCGTCCCTCATGCCCACTGCGCGCCGATACCCGCTGCTGCTGCGCGATCGACGGGTGAGCCTAAGCTAACCCCACGGGGATACGAGCGTCCAGTAGAATCAGATCTTATCGCCACGGGCCGCATAATCATGGAAGGATGTTCGCATCGCTATCCGCTCTCGAGACATTCCTCCTCACTGTTGTCTCTCCTCTAATTCCTCTCTTCCCCCTGTTTTTTCCCTCCCACATGTTTTTGCCCTGGAATGCCCGCTCTCTTCCCCCAGTTGCTGCACCACGTGCGCACAGGGCTGTTCGGAGTGGATCTCGCCGCGCTCTCGATACCACTGGACGTCACGTCACCGTATTCCACGTCAGCACGACGGGCGGACGCAGCGCGTCCGCACCTGTTCTTTGCGAAAAAGCTCTACCTCCCGCTACACCTGGACTCTCTCTGCGGATTTGCCGCTTCCCCCCGCCCCTCCTCCCCCGACCCCCTCTGGCGCACCCTCCGCGCACACCACCTCCTCCCTCCCAATGGCCTGCCGATCCTCAACCCGAACTGGGTGCCTCGGCTACCGAACCAGCATCTGAATCAGCAGGCTCGGGCGCACATGGTGGTTGGGGAGGCTTTGCGTCGGGATTGGGTGGTGGTGGTGTCGCTGGTTTGGAGCGCGCACGGGGGAAGGGAGGGGCAGGGGGTGGCTGGGGGGGAGGATATCGGATTGGGGGAGGGAGGGCTCGCGGAAGGGGGAGCAGGCGCAGGGGAGGGCGCTGAGGGCGATAATAAAGAGGCGGCTGACGCGATGAACCGTGTGATTGTAATGATGCGGGAGCTTTTTGGCGAGGCGCGCGTGGTGGTATACGACGAGCACGTGCCGCTACTTCAAGCTAAGGAGCTCTTTTCCCGCGCGATTCTGTTCGTCGGCCCCACGTCGCCTGCGCTTTCGAATCTTATTTTCATGCCCTTCAACTCCACCCTGATCGAAATTCTCCCTCGCACAGTAGCCATGGCCGCTGCAAACATCCCTGTCGTCGGCCAACAGCGGGCTGCCACGTGGCACTTCCACCTCGCGTCCCGCCTCGGCATCCATCATTTTCTCTCTGCCTGCGATCCGTCTAAGGTGAACTGGCACTCTCAGGAACATTGCCATGTGGACGAGGTCTACGGTACAGTCACCGCAATGATCCGTAACAATCCTACTCTCCACGCGTTCACCGGGTTACCACCCGTCTCCTTTCCACCGGACGAGCCGGCCAGCCTCGGCGACTTCCGAAGCAGGATCCCAGGCTCGAGACTCAGGCCCGGAACAGGCGAAGCGGCAGCGTTCAAGCAGTGGATGAGCTGCGTTGCGGAGCGCGGCGAGTGGCGGTACAACGCGACGCCTAGGGTCCTACCGTGGGAGGAGAAACAGATACAGAGCTGTGACAACCGGCACATGAAGCAAGGCGGAGTTGCGGGAGTATACGCGGATAAAATCGCAACCTCGGGATGGGATCCCGCTGCTGCTGCTGCGGCATGGAAGGTTCGAGAGAGTTTGAAATACGAGTGGGTGGTGCCGCGGGAAAAGTGTCCTGGAGTTATCGGGGGGAGGCAGGCGGTGGTGGGGAGGGAGGGCGTGCAGGGGGAGATGTTTTCGAGGTTCGACGGGCGTGCGCTTTGCGAGCTGGCCGCGCGGCGGAAAGATGGGCTGCGGATTGCGTTTATCGGGGATTCGCTGACGCGAGAACACCACTATTCGTTTATGAATAACATTATCAAGCATATCCCGAAGCCGGCTGTGGGGACGATAGTGAAGCAGAAATGCCTGGAGTGGATTGACGACACGGTAACGGTTACATGTGCTGGTTACCGCATTGAGGGTTGCCCGAAATTGGAGATACACTATGTGGCAACAACACGGCTGATGCGTGTACAGGAGGAGAAGCTAGAACGGGCGGCATGGCTCCACGTGCCATGGCAGCAGGTTCCTGGAATCAGAAACTCCCATGTGCTTATAATGAATCGGGGAGCGCACTACAAGCCAGCAGTGAAGGTTGTGAAGGCAGTCAGAAGAATCTTCAGATTCCTTCGCCACAATCACCCCGACAAGCTCCTAATCTACCGCACTACACCTCCCGGGCACCTCAACTGCCTGAACCACACCCGGCCAATCACGGAGCGGCAGGACGGTGCAGCATTGCCATTCAGATGGGGCGAATTCACGGAGCAGAATGAGATGGTGAGGGAGATAGTAGAGGATGCGGGAGGGTTGTTCATGGATGTGGATCCCATGATGGCTTTAAGACCGGATGGGCATAGAGGGGTGGTGGCAAAGGATAAGGTGGACTGCCTGCACTACTGCCTGCCAGGCCCAGAAGACACGTGGTCTGAGTTCCTGTACAACATTATCCAGAGGCTCGTGCCTGTTCAGTGAGCATCTGTGGCTGACTGCTACAGGAGGCAGGCAATGAGCTCTATTGGTGCCTATGATGGATGGGGAGAATAATCTTGGAGGAGAAGAGTGGGGCGATAAGGGAGGATCGGAAAGGAGGGTGTGGCTTTCCAGTGGTTGAGCGTCTCAAGGTAGTATCGACCTGATTGGAGGTTCTTCATTGCAGAGAATGCAGTCCAAGTCAGGTCTTAGCATATGGGCTTTCATAAGCTCAGGTGTAGCTGGAAAGATGCAGCCGCCTGCCTATCCTGCTGCCAAATAAAGGATGTCCCTTGCAGGGTGTCCAAATTATAGAATAATGATGCGCTTGCAGCATTCTGCAGGCAATTGTTGAATGGTGGTGTCCTTTGACACTAATCAGTACACCCAATTGTTTTGTACCCTTGGTGGATAAAGTAACAAAAAAGGCTCACCAGAATGCAACCTGGACGTCCTACAACTCTATATATATGTATATATATATATATATATTCAAGACAGAATGTTTCACATTCTGAGGGTCTGCTCAAAAAGAAGGAATAGGGTGCACGGAGGTGGAGGAAATATTACCATCAAGTATCTTGTAATTGCCTGAGAATATTGTTTTTGCCAACCAGCTCTCGTACCCCACAGAAACACTTAGCACCCTACAGAACCTCAGAATCCGTTAGCGTCACCCACACGCTTCGCGCCAAGCTATCTGTTGCTCTACGCTTCAGCCTCACATGCATTTCGCAAGCAGCCTGGCGTGCGTTTGACGGATTCGGCTGGGTCGTAGGGTGATAACGCGGCGAGATCGAGGAGTTAGGGTGAACTTGGTTTGCGCCAGTTTTAGTTGACGGGAGAATGCAGCAGCTTTGTGATTATCACAAGTGACACGCCAGAATGACACGTGGATGTGAGCGATTGGTCGCTTCACTTACGCGTCGCCTTGCTCGTCGCGCGCCTTTCCAAGACTTCCGCCGTGAGCTTACCTCGTCCGCTGCAGGGGCCGGCTCGTGTCAGCCTGCCACTTGGCAACAGAATCAGATTTGTCAACCTCGACAAAAGATTACGCCGGATTCCTATTGGACGTCACCTGTTTCAGATCTCCCCTTACGTGGCGAAATCACGAGTACTAGCAGTACCAGCAGTATTAGCGGAAATAGCAGTAGAGTCTTCTATGCACGTGATTATCACCGGTTACCTTTTCCCACGTGGTGCTCACAAGTCGTATTCCAGCCAAGATCAACATATCCTGTTGCCACGTGGCGTGGAGGTGGTGGGTCCCACCCAGCAAAGTTCCCGCACACCTTCCTTCCGCCGTCGGCGGTCCCCGCATCGGCGGGGCTCGCGTTTGTTCCGCGCTTCACTGCCCTCCGCGGCGAATGGCCCCCCCCCTCCCCGCTGCCTGCCACTCCGCCCTCCGCGCATGCAGCAGCGCGGAGGGGAAAGGAGGGCGGGGGAAGTAGAAGGAGGAGCAGGGTAAAGGGCGGTTCAGCAGGGGAGGAAGGAGCAGCGACAGGGGCGGCAAGAGGGGAGAGTGAGCAGGCATCAATTGGAGATGAAGAGGCTTATATGGAGGATGGAGCTTGGGACGAGGGCAAGAAAGAGGATGGTGCAGAGGCGGACGTAAACGCGGATTCAGGCCGACATGAAACCCGGTAGGGTAGACTATGGTGGGCCGTCATGGGACCCGGTAGGGTAGACTACGGTGGGCCGTCATGGGACCTGGTAGGGTAGACTATGGTGGGCCGTCATGGGACCTGGTAGGGTAGACTATGGTGGGCCGTCATGGGTAGGCTATGGTGGGACGCGGTAGAACATTGTGGGACACCTTTTTTTGAGGCGCCTCAAAAGTCAGAGGAAAACGCAAACGCGGATTCAGGCCATCATGAAACGCGGTAGGGTAGATAGACTACGCCGGTGGGACACCTTCTCCCGGGATTCAACATGTTTGGAGTTTTCGCTCTGTTCTCCCGTGCAAGAAACCACGGCCTTTGTTTACTTTCCCTCCTCCCTTTCCCCCCTTTCTTCACCCTGTTCTTCCCCCGCCTCCGCATCCTACCCCCCTTACCCCCCTTACCCCCCTTTCCCCCTTTCTCCCCCTCCAGCATGCTGGTGGTGCAGCCGCGCCCGCATCCGCGCTGGCTGCTGCGCGCCAAACTGCATGCACACATGCTCCCCCTTGCCGTCTGCTTCCTCCCCCCCCCCCCCTTCCCCCTTTTCCCCCATTTCACCCCTCTCTCCTCGCACAGCATGTTGGTGGTGCAGCCGCGCCCCCATCCGCGCTGGCTGCTGCGCGCCAAGCTGGGGGAGGCACTGCGATTGGTGGACTCGCTCACAGGCACGGACAGCCAATGGGAGATGGAGCAGCGCTCGTGGGGGGGCGCAGGGAGCGGGGAGGGCGCGCAGGCAGTATGGCAGGGGGGACAGGAAGCACAGCAGGGGCAGGGAGGAGCGAGAGAGTGGCAGGAGGAAGGGGAGCAGTGGCGGCAAAGGGAAGAGGCTGAGGCTGAGTGGAGAAGGCGGAGTGAGGGGAGAGGGATGCGTGGGGATGGGGTGGAGGGGAGAGGGCGGAGTGGGGATGGGGTGGAGGGGTTTGGGTTCCCGCCTCCAGGAGGGGGACACCCGTGGGTAGTGGTGCACAGCAGCGGGCGGGGGATACGCGCAGGTATGGCTGATTCGCCTGACTGAAGAAAGATCGCATGATTCGGCTAAAACCATGCGATTCTGCTGAGACAGTGAAGTGAACTGTCAGTCGCCTTGAAGTGAATCTCGTGAAAAGAAAGAAAGAAAAAGAGAAAGTCTCCGCAATTGCACGCCTAGTCTGTGCTTGCATTTCATGGTTCCTCTTGTGAACTCCATTTGGCATGCTGTGAGCCTGGTTTAACTGAGCCCCCCCACCCACCCCCTTTTTTTTTTTTTTTTTTGATATATTTTTTAAGCCTCCTGTTCTTCTCTCCTCCCGGCTCTCCCCGTTGCTGATGCTGTCTTTCAGGGTCATTCTTTGGCAGTGGCACCATCGAGAGCATTGCAGCTCATGTGCATGCATCACACAGCATGGTATGGTATGGCGTGAATTTGACACCTTCAGAATCGCAATAAATGTGAACATGCACAGGTGCATGTAAAAGGTCATACTCTTGCGCACATCATTGCACGTCTGAGCGGGACTGTGCGATAGTGTGTGTGTGGGAGGTTGCGAGGGAGGGGTTACTTCGCTCCCCTCGCTCCACCTTCTGATGTCTCTCCTATTTTCGGAAAGCTTTCTTAATGCGTAGATGTATGATCAAATGGATGTGTGGATGTCTTCTCAAAATTGCGGGTGGGGAGACGACTTTTGAGGCTCTCAATGGATGTATGGTTAAATGGACACGATGTCTTCTTAACGTTCGCCCTACCAACCAGGGTGTACCAGTGGAGGCAGTATTTGTTAATGCCACTCTCTCAGGCGTGCAGCAGCGCAACCTGGAGGTGAGAGTGGGGAGCTGAGGGAGTAAGGGGCATGAGAATAGGAGAGAGGGGTTGCTTATGTAAGGGCCTTACTAGCAGGGACTGCCAGGGTGTGGCGAGGGGGTTGAGAATAGGAGAGAAGGGTTGCTCGTGTATGGGCTTTCCTAAACACTGCCAGGGTGTACCAGTGGAGGCTGTATTTGTGAATGCTACTCTCCCCTCCCACCTCCTTCCCCTCCCACCTCCTTCCCCTCCCACCTCCTTCCCCTCCCACCTCCTTCCCCTCCCACCTCCTTCCCCTCTCCTTTCCCCCACTTTCCGTACCCGTCTTCTCTCCCCTTCCTCCAATCAAGGCGGCATGGGGTCTGCCAGTGGTGGACCGAGTGGGTTTGATCATAGAGATCTTCGGTGCTCGCGCTAACACACGAGAGGCCAAGCTGCAGGTGGGTTGGGCTGGGCTGGGCTGGGCTGGGCTGGGCTGGGTTGGGCTGGGTTGGGTTGGGCTGGGTTGTGCTGGGTTAAGTTTGTTTGGGTTGGGTTAATTCGGGTTGGGTTAGGTTGCTGACTCAGTGGTCAAAGGGTTGGTTGATGCAGAACACAAAAACAATTACCTTCCTGTTGCTTTACTACTGTAAATATGTATATCCTGTCTTCATAATTTAATTTAGGGTTTGAAATTAATCAAATTATAGGGGCATTTCCTCCCAACTCCCAACCCATTCCCCCATTCTATACCTCATATACCTACTCCCCCACTTCCCTTCCATTTCCCTGCTCCCTTTCCGAACCTCAGGTGGAGATGGCAGGTTTGGAGTACCAGCGCAGCCGGCTGGTTCGGCAGCGAGGCTCGGGGGGGCGGAGGCTCGGGTTTGGTTTGGGGGGGGAGCAGCAGGTGGTGAGTGCGCGGGGGAGGGCGGCAGGCGGGCGGGGATTTTTGGCTGGAGCAGGGGAGAGCGAACTACAGCTGCAGAGGCGACGGTGAGAGGGAGGAACGAGGTGGGGGAAGAAGGGGGTGAAATTGGGTGCATAACGGGGAGGGCGGCAGGCGGACGGGGCTTTTTGGCCGGAGCAGGGGAGAGCGAACTACAGCTGCAGAGACGACGGTGAGAGGGAGGAAAGGGAGGGAGGGAAGTGGATTACTTGGTACCCTCTCTCGCTCATCACTCCCCTCCTTTCTGGCCGGAGCATGGGAGAGCGAACTACAGCTGCAGAGACGACGGTGAGAGGGAGGAAAGGGAGGGAGGGAAGTGGATTACTTGGTACCCTCTCTCGCTCATCACTCCCCTCCTTTCTCGCCGGAGCAGGGGAGAGCGAACTACAGCTGCAGAGACGACGGTGAGAGGAAAGGCAGCAAGTATGGGAAGGCGAGTGGGATGGAATGGAGCAGGGGTGTTTGGGGGGAGAAAGAATGGGAAGGGGGCTTTTGGCTGGAGCAGGGGAGAGCGAACTGCAGCTGCAGAGACGACGGTAAGTGGAGAGGAAAACAAAAAAGTTGAAGGAAATGGCTCACACTTGGCCTTAGTCTCACTCCCTCCCACTCTCCCTCTCTCCCTCCCTCCCTCCCACTCTCCCTCTCTCCCTTCCTCCCTCCCACTCTCCCTCCCTCCCTCCCTCCCTCCCTCCCTCCCCCCTCCCTCCCTCCCACTCTCTCTCCCTCCCTTCCCCCCTCCCCACCTCCCTTCCCCACTCCCTCCCTCTTATCCCCCTCTGCCCCCTCCCTCCCTCTCTCCCACCCCCTTTTTCCCCCTCCCACCCTCCTATGCCAGCATATCGGAAAAGCAGCACAAGCTGAGGCAGCAGATTTCGCAAGTGCCTTGTGAGTCAACTAAAAAATCAACTCCTTCTTTCCCCCCCTCCATCTTCCCCCTCCTCCCAATTATGCCAGCATATTGGAGAAGCAGCACAAGCTGAGGCAGCAGATAGCGCAAGTGAGGAGGACACGTGGCCTGCACCGATTGGCCCGCAGACGCGCCTCCTGGGAGGGCGGGGGCAAGGGGAGAGGGCTGCCTGTCGTGGCGGTGGTGGGGTATACCAACGCGGTGAGTTTTTCTTATGGTGAGGCATTTCAATGCTGTGAGGATTTTCTTACTGAGTGCTGAAAAACAAGTGGGGAAAGGGGAGAGGTCTGCCTGTCGTGGCAGTTGTGGGGAATACCAATGCGGTGAGTGTAGTATGATTCATTGAACAATTGTTGTTGCGTGGTGTAAACATATCCCGTAGCAAAAATCTGCGATAACAATGATCGATGAAAGCAACAATACCAGCTGTATATCTGATGCATGCACGTGCTGTGTGCGTCTCCTTTCCATGCACGTGCTGTGTGCGTCTCCTTTCCACGCACGTGCTGTGTGCGTCTCCTTTCCACGCACGTGCTGTGTGCGTCTCCTTTCCACGCACGTGTTCCTGCCTTGTGCAGGGCAAGTCAACGCTGGTGACGGCACTTTCCCAGTCGCCGCAATACATCGATGACCGGTGGGTGATGGCCTTGGCGAGACTTTGGGGGATAGAAATGATGGTCATTGGGTGGGTGGGTCTTTTATCCTTATACACTAGATGCTCGTTTCCGAGGCTCTAAGAGCATTTGATAGAATTTGGTATTAACCTCTTTGTAACCTGCTACAAATCTTTTGGGTGCAGCCTTGATTCTTCTCTCATTGCTCTCCCTTCTGCTCGTTGCTTCGCATGGCTTGGAATTCTGCTATCTTCCCAGGTTATTTGCAACCCTGGATCCTCGTGTGAGGGCAGTCACGCTGCCATCAGGGTGAGACGGTGTGAGGGTGAGATGGTTTGTCATGAGAGTGAGATGGCGTGATGTGAGATGGCATGAGGGTGAGATGGCATGAGATTGAGATGGCATGAGGTTGAGATGGCATGAGGGTGAGATGGCATGAGGGATTAAAGTTGGAAGTTGCTCCAAATTTTACACACTGAATGAATGTATGGGTGTGCCTAACTGTTGCATCACCTGCATTCTCCGTGTGTCATCTCCACATGTCGTGCATGCAGAGAGCAAGTGATACATCTGCACTCATATCATGCCGAATGCACACGCCCCCCCATAAATTCTGTACCGACCAAAGCTTGGTTTGTTTTGTTTGTTTGTCTGTTTGTCTGTCTGTTTGTTTGTTTGTTTGTTTGTTTGTTTGTCTGTTTGTTTGTTTGTTGTTTTATTTCTTTTGCAGCCGCAGGGTGCTTCTGAGTGACACGGTGGGGTTCATCTCTGACCTGCCCCATCAGCTGGTGGAGGCGTTTCACGCCACGCTGGAGGAGGTTGTTGAGGCGGACCTGCTGCTGGTAAGGTTTCCACTGATGCTCCGATTCACAATGCTCCAGGTGTGCTTGTGAGTGACACGGTGGGGTTCATCTCTGACCTGCCCCATCAGCTGGTGGAGGCGTTTCACGCCACACTGGAGGAGGTTGTTGAGGCGGACCTGCTGCTGGTAGGGCACATGCAGATGTACATGCACATGAACATGCATCATATGGTATGATGCTGGCATGAAATGGAATATGCATGATGCCATCATGGAGGCATGGTGGAGGCGTTTCACGCCACGCTGGAGGAGGTGGTTGAAGCCGACTCCCTGCTGGTAGGGTCTTTCACTGATGCGTGATGCTGCAGGTGTGACTTCATTATGATTATTATTGTTAATGTTGTTCTTATCGAAATTACTTATTATCGCTACCGCTATTTGTATCATTGTTTTTCTTAATGTAATTCTTATTGCTGTTAGACTGTTTCTCTAAAGGCTCTTCCAACATTGCAGTCCAACCTCACCCCAAAACCCCTCCCTCCCCTCTACCCCCTCACCCCCACCCTACCCCTCCGCCCTCCCACCCCTTGGCTGTCTGTCCACGTCAGCATGTGGTGGACGCGTCAGCACCGGACATGCATCAGCAGCGGCAGGCAGTGATGCACGTGCTGACGCAGATGGGCGTGCCTGTGGATCCAGGCATGGCCGCTGACGTCAGCATGGCTGCTCGGGGAAGCAGCATGGGTTTGGGTCATGGTGGTTATTGTGTGGATGGTTCAAGAATGCATAGCTATGGCAACAGGAAAGAGGGGAGGTTCTTTACTCATCCACACATCATTGAAGCTTGGAACAAGGCAAGCTTGTCCGTATTGTTTGCTTGTTTGTTTGAATATACGTTCTTACCACTTTCAGGATGTTATTGTGTCACTGCAGCGCATAAATGTGCAGCACATGTTTGTCTCCCCTTTCCAGCCTCTCTGTCCTTTCGTCCAATCGTCTCCGTTTCCTGCAGATAGACCTCCTTTCTCCCTCGCCCCCCCCGCTCTCTGGCTTTGAGTCGACTCAAAACACAACTCCTTTCCCAACCTCTCTGTCCGTTTGTCCAATCCAATCGCCTCCGTTTCCCGACAGGTGGACCTCCTTCCTGCCTCGCACGCCCTGCTCTCTGGCTCATCCTTTTTAGAGTCACATCTGCATAAGAGCACGCTACACCCTGCTGTAGCACTGCCCAAATCCCAGGATCCGTTACAAGCACAACATGCTCCGTTACTGATCAATCCTGCGCGGCAACAAGAACTCGAGGAGGACAGTGCAGGAGTGCAGATGGGAGAGGGAAGCGGGCAGTTGCACGTTCCTAAGACACTCAGGCTTGGTGGTGGGAGCACAAGGAAAGGGGAAAGTGGGTCTGGCAGTGTACAGAGTGAAGCTTGGAGGACGCCTGGTTCCCAACTGGAGGAGGGGGGTGAGTATGGTCGGGAGGAGGATGAGGAGGATGAGTCGAGTGATGGGGAAGAGAAGGGTGAGGAGGAAAATGAGGATGGGGGTGTTGAGAGCGAACGTGCCGAGGAGGAGGAATATCGGTTGGGTCAGGTGGAAATGCACGGGCAACGGGATGCTGTCACATGGCTCGAAATGCATGAAAGAAGTTCAGAAGCATTTGCTGGAGGGTCAACGCTTGAAGGAGCTTTTGCTCAAGTCCGAGCTTCGAGACCGATTTTGATCTCTGCTGTTCGTGGCATTGGGTTCGATAAACTTCTGAATGATATTGATGAAGCGCTCACCGAAAGAGGCTTATGACAGGCGATGGTTTTGCCTGTTTGCTGCATGTATCTGATTGAGTAAATCATGGGGTCTGAAAATATATTAAGATCTGAGCTTAAAAAGTGAATAGAGTGTTATAGATGAGTGTGATATATCGAGTTTCTGTTATTGTTGTTTCCTCTATTCGTTGCCAGCTGGCAAGAGTCAGTTTCTGCCAAAGAACACCCTCGTGGCTGCCGCGTTGTTGGCCTGCCCTAAAAGTAAAAGTCACGAAAATATTGTCTGTGTGTGATTCCGCTCAGCCCCGCGACAACACTCGGTTTGAAAAGCACCAATAGCAGTTGACATAAAAAAAAGGGCATTCGGTTTGTGTCAAACCCGAAACCCTAAACCGAATGCTCGGCAAGGTTATTGAGCAGTTTTGGGGGCAGGACTTGACAAAACACTATTTTTCTCGGTACCATCATGCAAACGGAGACGCGCGAGGGATTTTGAGCGAGGGTATGAAGTTACACTGGACATCATGAATTAACTCATTTCACCCTGATGCAATATGCACGGGTTTTTAGTCATTATAGAATAATAATCAAGCCCGATTTATCAGGTTTGGTCACGGGGGTATCACGAACAGTCACAGTACAGTAGATTTCTATCGCGGGTGATCACAGTGCTATCACGGATGGTCACACCTCGCCCTGAAAGGCTATCACGTTTGGTCACTCGATGAAACGATCATAATTAATTTGAAACCACGAAAGAAACGGTAGAAATTTGCTTGTTACCTCGCGCATTATTTATAGCCCTGACATTTAGGGAACTGACGAAAAAATACAAACCCTACTGGATGGGATGTCCTTAGGGAGGCATCAACCCTTAAAACTATGTGACAAGGTGTTTAGGGTTGATGCTCCCGAATTAAATCCCATCCGAATGGGTTTTAGTTTTTTTATCAGGAACAAAAAAATATACTTAGAGTTTCACCTGTCGAAAAGTGATATTCTTAGGGTCATTATGCATCGATCGAACAGTGGACAGTCGAGTTACTGAGAGTTGTCGCGAAACTATTTCGTAATACTACGGACAAAACGGCGCGCGCGATAAAATTTCCCCCGAATCCCTACTGAGTAGTTACAATTTTCAATTAGGCGTTTCATCTGTGACCAAACGTGATAGACTTGCGGCGCAAGGTGTGACTATCCGTGACAGCACTGTGATCAGACGCGATAGAAATCTACTGTACTGTGACTGTTCGTGATACCCCCGGGACCAAACGTGATAAAACGGACATTATTGTGACTTCGCATATAATTTCCCCAATAAGAAACTGGTGGAGACGTCATCATTGGAACCCCAGGTAGGCGATCTTCACACAGCAGGGTACTGGTACAACTGAAATTTGCTTCTGCCCACTGGCGTATCTCACCCACACTTCACATTAGCCCTGGAAAAACCAAACTCATTTCGTGTTCATACATACAGACTTGGTGCACCCAAACCGTCGTTCTCTTGCTCTCTCCCATCCCAGTGTAGCGTCTTCCTCCCTTGGTTTACAGAACAAACCCGGTAAAAATAATTTCAACTTCCATACAGTTGCCAGGCCATCCACTTCCACGCTACCTCCAGCTCATCCTCACCATCCACGCTAACTTGTTCCACCCACCCCCTCCCCACCCCCTTCACGAGACACCACCTGTTGCCGAAACAGATTCCATTCTGATATCGTATCCGCTCTTGTCTCCTTTGCCAAACCTTCTTTTCCAGCCCTTCCATTCCACCTCTCATTTCAGGGGCTCGTTTTGCAGCTC